AGCACAGCACTGTGCACGGACTCCCAGTGCCACCCTCCCAGAGGCTCTGAGTGAGCTGAGGCACCTCTTGGTGTTTTGGCTTCTCCTCTCCCACAAGGACAGCACCAACTCCCTTTCCTGCTATCAAAGCTGATAGAAGCAAGCAACAACAAGGACTTGTCTTTCTGACCATGTCAGCAAAGGGAAATGCTGGCAGCTGCCTTTGTTTCTACTTCTTTGTAGATGGTCCCTGCTGGGAGAAGGGCCAGGACCTTGGAGCTGTGCTCACCTCCCATGTCTGTGCCAGCACAGCATACCACAGTGTGGCTGCAGCTCCCCCCTTCCCGGGGACCTGGGCATTTCTGTGGGCTCAAACCCATTGCAGCTGGTTCTGTGTGCCAGCCATGTGCCTGCAGTAGGCAGCGAGCTCACAGCCCAGGTGCTGCCCATGGGAGTGCTGAAACCTGGCAGCAAAGAGCTCCAGGCACATAAAGACAGGGATGTTTTGGGTTTGGGGGTGGAGCAGAGAGCAGGGCTGTGGCCATGGCATGGCTTCCAGGGGAAAAGGGAGTGCTGGCTGGGCACAGGGCGGTGGTGGAGTTTCCATAATAACAAGGGAAAGATCAGAGGTGAAAAATGAATTGGCAAATATGGACAGAAACAGCTGTCATGAATTCCTTTTTGTCCCATAGACACGTGAATACATCACAGAACGTGTGTACGTGCCCTTTTTTCCTCTGCAAACACTGATGGAGCATGCAGTAGAAATCTTTCCCTGGCACACACACACACATACACACACAGTCTCCCTCTAATCCTTTTCCTGCTTGTATGTCAGAGAAAGCTATTTCTGGAACGTGAAATCTAGGTCAAAAAGAAGGAGAAAATCTGAAGGGAATGATAGCAGTCCCTCCCAAAGGCCGTGTGGGGTCAGCTCAGGCCGATGGGATTAGTGAGGGGCTGCAGTGGTGCTTCACCCCCGGCTGAGCAATGGCTCCTGGCCTGGTGTGAGCTCCCTGTGCCTTCCCATCACTGCTGTTTCCCCACACAGGAGACAAGGCCATGACAGCCAAGAGGAGTGCAACAGAAATCGCCTGCCTACACAGAGACTGGGATCACGGCACACAGAGGAGGAGAAGGAGGAGGAACATACACGACTTTCCCAGAAGCCGTGGAAACTCGTCCCACAGTGAGCCAGTCCTTGGTGGTGCAGGCACTTTGTCCTTCCTCCTAAGCACAGCCCTGCAGTCCCTGCAAGAGCATCAGTGCCAGGGGACTTTGTGCCTTCCCCCAGCACAGCCATGGGCCCAGAAGCCAGCTCTCTAATTTAGTCATAATCAGGGAAACAAAAGCAATAGAAAAAAGACAGGAAGCAGGTGGGACACAGAGGACAGTTCTCTCCTGACCTTTGGGAGCATCTCTCCCAGTTAGTGCTCTCCTGCTCAGCCTGGGCTTGGAAAAGTTCTGGTATATGGAGGGCACAAAGCGTGCAGCCCTGGCCTCCCTGCAAGAGATTTGGACACAGGATAAGAAGCTGGACACCTGAGCTTTTTGGGGACAGGCTGCTGAATCCCAGGGCAGGATGCTCTCAGCAAGGGTCATGTTACCAAATGGCACAAGGAGGAATGGGAAGAGCTCAAGTAGAACTGGCTTGGTGTGAGCTTTCCCTGCTGTATTTGCTTGCTCACCTCTGCTTTCTTGTTTCCCCTGGACAGTAAGTACTCTGCTCTGCATTGCAAGCAGTCTATTAAACAAGTAATTCCCAGAGCTGCCTCTAATAAGCAGGAGCCGGGGCTAGGGAGCCCTTTGTGGTGCTGGGAGCTGTCACTGCACGCCTGGCAATTAGAGGAATAGGTTCCACTGGGGCTTTTGAGTCTCCGGCTGTGCAAGGCACAAGGCTTTGTTTAAGGCTGATCAAGGGCAGCTCATCATCTGTCTCGATGGCTGTCAAATGGGAGCTAATTGCCTTGTAACGTGCCAGTGACACAGGCATTAGTAGGAGGAACCGGCGTGGCAGGGCTGTGACAGCTGTCAGGGCGCTCCCCCGTGCTCCCCACATACCCCGCATGGAGCTCGTTGCCCCTCCTCCTGCCCTCTGACAGTGCCCGAGTCCCTCTGCTTCAGCATACAACCCCCACATGGCCTTCAAGGAACAACAAGCCTATGTTGGCCCCAGAACTGCTGCTGCTGATGCCTCTCTAGGATGTGTCCCTACACAGACAAGAGCGTCGTAGTCCCCATTCCTCTGGGCTGGTGCATGGATTCTGGATGAAGAAAAATGTCCCTGGGATGTGTTTGGGTCAGGGCTCTTAATGGTGTCATGCCAGAGCCCTGTGTGGTGCAGAGGCTGTGAGTGACCATTACACCTGCAGGTGACAGTGCGCCCACTTCTCCCATGTGTCCAGGCTGATGCCACCAAGCTGCCACCTGCTGCTCAGGAGGCCCCTCTCCTACATCACCAGCCACTTAGAGCCTCAGGGATGCACAGAAAAGGCCCTGGGGGTGCTGGTTGACAGCAGCTGAACATGAGCCCAGGTGGGCAAGAGGCCAATGACACCTGGCCTGTGCCAGCCATGGTGTGGCAGCAGGACCAGGGCAGTGACTGTGCCCCGTGCTGGGCACTGGTGAGACACCTCAAGTGCTGTGTCCATTTGGGCCCCTTGTGACAAGAAAGGCATTGAGGAGCTGGAGCATGTCCAGGGAAAGAAACTGAGCTGGGGAAGAGGCTGGAACACCAGGAGGAAGCTGAGGGGCTCAGCCTGCAATAAAGGAGGTTCAGGGGGGACCTCACTCTCTACAACTCCCTGAGAGGAGGGTGCAGCCAGGTGGGGATCAGGCTCTTCTCTCAGGTAATAAGTGGCAGGATGAGAGGAAATGGCCTCAAGATGCACTAGGAAGGGTTTAGATTGGATATTAGGGAAAACTCTTCATATAAAAGGTTCTCAGGCACTATCACAGGTTGCCTAGGGCAGTGGTGGAGTCACCATCTATGGGAAGTGTTCAAAAAACTTGTGGATATGGCACTTGGGGCCATGGGTTAGTGGTGGGCTTGGCAGTGCTGGGTTAATGGTAGGACTCAATGATCCTAGAGGGCTTTTCCAATCAAAATAATTCCATGATTTGCAAGGGAACTGAGCCCAGATGGCTGATTAGAGGTGTGAGTGCTGTCCAGATGTGTCTCCTGCCTCCCACATCCTGTGCATGCACAACCACAGATGCTCCTCTCTGCTCCTCAATCCTCCAGCAAAACTCTTTCCCTCCCCAAGGCCCAGAAGCCAGTGTGAAGGGCTGAGGTGTGCTCTGGGAACCAGCAGAACTGTGCTGGGTTATGTCAGAGAGAGGTGGTACCCAGGCATTTTGGAAGCCCCCTCTGTGCTGTGCCTGCTGCTGCTGCCCGCTGTCAGCCTGGACCTGTGGCAGCACTAAGCTCAGCAGCACTGAGCCAGCAAGGAGAGGGCTGTGGGACAGGGGGAGCCAGATGGGAGTAGTGTGGGGCAGAACAGACAGAGAGGGAGCAGGAAGGAGGGACAGGGCTGAGCAAACAGCCCATCCCTCCCAGGGATGTCCTCCAGTTCCTGCCTCATCCTGTGGACCTTGACTGGGGCCAGAGCTCTGCAACTCAGACCACTGAAGGGAGATGTTCCATGCCCATATCCCTGGGGAGGAAGGCCTGCAGCCAGGCAGGAAGGCTACAGTTTCTCCTCCCCATTCCCCACTCTACCCAGAGCTGGGATGTACTGTCTCCCACTGACAACCCATCCCATCCCATCCCATCCCATCCCATCCCATCCCATCCCATCCCATCCCGTCCCGTCCCGTCCCGTCCCGTCCCGTCCCGTCCCGTCCCGTCCCGTCCTGTCCCAGTGCTGTAGCAGCTTTGCCCACAACAGATGAGCTGAGGCTGCTCTGAACCCGCCTTGGTGCCAGAGCTGGTGCTGAGAGGCACCGTCCTGCTGGGCCTGACCCTGGCCCCATGGGGATGGGATGTGCTGCCTCCACAGACAGTCCTGGGGAGGTTCTGCATTCCTCCTGCCTGCTTTGGCATCTGCCTTGCACCATGAACAGGTACCACCATGTTCAGGAACACGAAGGTATCACCTTTGCTAACCAGTTCCCAAAATTATCCCCAGGATGGAACCTGTCAGCTCCTCACATCTTGTGCTACACCTAAGCCCCACATGGAGCACCAGGGCTGGCCAGGAGAAAATGATGCAAAGTGATGCGGATCAAGTGACTTGAAGCATCACAGAAGTGCTGCCATGGCTCAGCACAGGGATGCTGGGCTTTGGGGCTTGGGAAGGCTTGTTGGTGCCTTGAAATTCAGTGCACGATCTGTTTGTACCCCACAGCCAGGGATGTTGGTTCTCTCTATGTGTCATCACAGAGTCACAGAATGGTTTGGGTTGAAAGGACTTTAAAGCTCATCCACCCCTGCCTGGGCAGGAACACCTTCCACTAGACCAGGTTGATCCAAGCCCTATCCAACGTAGCCTTGGACACTTCCAAGGATGGGGCACCCACAGCTGCTCTGGACACCCTGTGCAAGCACCTCATTAACCTCTAAGATCTTCCTAGGACCTTCTCTTTTCCAGGCTGAACATTCGCACCTCTCTCAGCCTCTCTCCGGAGCAAAGGGGCTCCAGCTCTTGGAACATCATCTCCATGACATTCTTTGGAGTTGCTCCAGCAGCTCCACATCTTTCTTGTGTTGAGGGCCCCAGAACTGGAGTCAGCTCTGCAGGAGGGGGTCTCATGAGAGCAGAGTAGAGCAGGGGGGATCTTCTCCCTTGACCTGTTGGTCACACCTCCTTTGACCCAGCACCCAGAGCCCATCTGCCATTCCAGCACCCACATCCAGCTGCTGCCCATCCTCTCGGGCACACAGCAAGCTCCCACATGCTCCCAAAGTCATGGACAACCACAGCTGGGGATGTAGGGACCCCAGCCCAGCGCCTCACATGCTTGACCACCCCCAGGCAGTGACAGCTGTGTCCCCTGTCCCCGCACGCTGCTGCACTCACTGCTGTTGGTGGGCAGGGTCCTGCTGCCGCTGAGGCTGCCCGTGGGCGGCGGGGAGATGGAGCGGACGGAGCCCATGTCGTCTTCCTGGGAGCAGCCCGCCTGGATGGCGCGGAGGTAGCTGTGGCTCCGGGATCGGAAGTAGCTGGGCAGAGGCAGGTCCAGCACCTCCGCAGCCGCCGACTCGGCCTCGCTGTAGGTGGAGTCGCAGACGGGCTCGTACTGCTCCCCCAGCTCCGGCTCGGGTGCCTGCACGGGGACAGGGCAGCCCCAGTCAGCCCCTGCCTGCGGCCGCCCTTCCTTTCCCTTCCCTTCCCTTTTGTCCTGCTCCTCGCCCTCTGGCCACTCCTGGAGGTCCCGCTCACGGCAGGGTGAACGGGAGGTACAGTGGTCAGTGGTGAGCAGCCAGTGGTCAGTGGTCAGTGCTGCTGGGCACAGGGTGCCCAGGGCTCTGTGCTGAGAGAGGGAAGAGGGACCCCTCCTTGGAGGCGAGTGTCCCAGCTTGTGGAGTAGTGGACACTTACCAGTGCAGTGCCTGTGAAACACCTCCAGTCCTGCAGCAGAGAGCATGTGTGGCCAAAATCCCAATGTAGCCTCTGCCAGGGCCCCTGCCCCAGCACAGCTGGGACACCCCAGCCTCAATGTGAGAGTGTACCAGGGCACGCCTGCTCCTCGGGGGCCAACATGGGGAGATGTTCCCACACATGCCTAGGGTGGGCCTTGGAATCCACCCCTGCCCCATCCCTGGTGAGTGCCAGGAGAAGGCTTGGCTGTGGCCAGGGGTGAGTAGGGCAGGGGCAGCTCTCCCATTGCCCCACCTTCCTCCTTCCTGCCTACAGCCCTGCCTTGCTCTGCTGTGGCAGCTGCTGGGCAAACTTGGTCTTGGGAGAGGCTCAGCCAGGTCAAACCAGACCCAGCCTAGAGCAGACTGTTCTGAAATATAGGTGAGAGATGCTGAGACTGGCCCTGTTGCTCACATCCATCTCTCCTAGCCCTTTCTTTCTCCTGGCACACAAGGACACTTTTCCTGACCAGCATTGGCATCTGAACTCCAGGAGGTTTGGCTCAAGAATTTAATCTGCTTTCCTCCTAAAACTGACAGTCCCTAAGCCCCTGTGGGCCCAGGACTCAAGCTCTCCAGCTGCCTTGCAGTGCCTGGGTAAGGAGTGCTGTCTCCTTCTCTTCCTCTTTTCCTTCTCCTCCTGCCACTGGCCTGGTCACGGGCTGACCCCAGAGCCCGTGTCACACCCTGCCATGGGTGTCCAGGCTGGCCCCAGAAAGCTCTGTGAGGAAGGATGAGAGAAACGCCAGCGGGACAATACCTGCTCTCCATGGGTAAATATCTGAGGGATAAGTGAGGGGGGTCCAAAGATCTGGAAGAAAGAGTTGGAGAAGGTTAAAGGCCAAGAACAGGGAGCCCCTCACACAGACAGTTACTGCACAGGGACCGAGCACAAGGGGAGCAGGGGGCTGTCCCCTGGGGCCACTGCTGCTGACACTTCAGTACAAACTGCAGAGCTTGTAAGATGCCAAGCGAGGCCACAGAGGCCCCTCAGACAGTGGCACAGACACGGCAAAGCTCCACAGGACACCTCAACCATGGGAGAAGCTGCTGAGCATTCAGCCTCCTGTGTGCACCATATCCGCGTACACCCACAGGGGACACTGGGGACACCGTGCTGGGACACCTCTCTGCACACTGGGGCAGCTGCACAAGGTGGCTGTGGCTCCCACTGAGCACCTCTAGGTAGCCCCCAGCACTGGCCAGCACCTCACAGACCAAAGAGCCATGGGCAGCCCGAGTGCTCTGTGTTGGGGGAGCTGTCCTGCAGCCTGCAGGGCTGGCCTGGCCACCTCGCTGCTGTCTCCCCGTGCCAGAAGAAGCCACACAGAAGCTGTTCTGCTTCCCCAGCGGAGCAAAGCCACGGCACACACTCAGCATACTGACAGAGCCCCGACAGACACTGTGCTGCCCGGGAGCATGGCTGCCACCTCCTCCTCCTCGTCCTCCTCGTCTCCACCCCTGGGGCTCTGCCTGGCACCAGCTGCCCGGGATGACCCTCTGGGGAGAATCCAGGTTCAAAGTGTGCCTGAGGGAAGAGGCACGGCACTGGCAATGGGCCTGGCCCTCTTGCACAGTGTGCACATGGGTGCACGTGGTGGGGTGTGGCAGTGTTGGGGTCACCAGCTCTGTCCCCCTTGGTGTGACAGGGGGTGCTGACACATGCACCTGGTGATCCCTGGACTGCCAGAGGGCTGCAGGGTGGAGCTGGGTGGGGACAAAACCGAGTAGAGGGGACTTGTCCGTCAGAGCTGGAAGTGTTTCCATGTGGGAAGACACTGTGTGTCTGGCTGGACACACAATGAAAGTGGTGGAGGTCACACTGAAGTGAGGGCAAGGCAGGAACTGCCTCCTGGGATGGATGAGACCAGCACGCACTGGTGGATGAACCAGCTCCATCCTGGATCACATACATGCAGTTTGTGGGAGGCCTCTCAATCCCAACCAGCTGCAGCTGAGCTCTCTGGTTTTGAGGGGACACTGGCAGAGTGCACGTGATGGCAGCAGCCCCTCTGTGTGAGTGGGTGCTGTGGCAGTCGCTGTGTCCCCAGTGCCACCAGCCTGGCTCTGGGCTGGTTGCCTGTGAAGCTCCTGGCAGATCATGGGCTGCTCAGACCCTACAGCTCCAAGACCCTCCTGATGTCTTTGTGGGGGTGCTGCACTCAGCTCCTGGAAGCAGCTCTCGACATGGATAGAGCACAGAGCCAGGGTCTCCTGCAGAGACTTCAGCACAGACTGACACATGAAGGACAAGGACATGGCGGTCCTGACCCTGCTGTGCACTGAGACACCCAGCACATTGCTGCTGCCGCTGCTGCACAAGGGACAGGACTGGCCACAGGGAACAGGAATGCCCAGCAATGCCCCTGCTCCCCCCAGCTCCCCTGCAAGAGCTCCAACTGCTCTGGGACAGCAGGAGACCCCCCAGCCAAGGGGCTCAGAGATCCCCACTCCTGGATGGAAACACAGGCAAGGCATGCCCTTTCCCCCCCTCCCACAGGGCTTCTGGTGCCCACCCCGCTGCTCTGGGCCCCTGCACACACAGAGCAGCTGTGGGGGTGCTCCCCATGCAGACACACAGGATCAGATGGGACAGAGACCTGGGGTGACAGGGCTTGCTGGGCAAGGCTGTGGGGCCATTGCTGCCCTGCGGTGAAAGGGCTGAGATGAGCACATGGGACCCCTGCAAAGGCTTGTCCTGGCACCAGGTATCTCCCAGCCTGGGAGGCAGCTCCAGACCAATCCCAGCCCCAGGGAGCTCCAGAGCAATCCCACAACCATAGTGTGGGATGTTTGACCCATTTTGCATCAACTGCATCCCAAATGTTGCAGGTGGGGCATGAGCCCACCTTGTGGCAAGGGTTTTGCCAGCATTTCACAGGCACCCTTGGCTTTGCCATGGTGCCCAGGAATATCTAAAAAAGACACCACCAGCTGGCTGGCAGGACAGCCTCCCCAGCTATGGGCTCCTTGTTCCTGGGTCCAGCCTGCTACATGAGGGGTGAGGTCCTGAGCTGAGCAGGGTGACTGTCTCTGGTAGCCCTGCAGGGTCCCAGGCTGGACACCAGCAGGAGAGGTTGGCCCTGGCTCTGGACCAGCGCAGTGGGCATGAGGGGTTTGCAGCAAGGTTGAACAGCCTTGCAGATGGTTCTGGGGGGGTGGCACAGAGAGACCCTGCACACAGGGCAGCCCTGAGCTTCCCCCAGCACTGTGGGGCATCCTCAGGGTTGCCACACCTGTGGCAGAGGGATTTTGGCTGCACCAGCAGTGTGAGAGGAGGTAAAACTGCAGGAAGGACGTCTAATATGAATCCTGATTAAAGAGCTGGCTATGACACTGGTAAAGCTGCCAGGGAACAGCCTGTGCAGTTCCTGGAGCACAGCCAGTGCCTTGCTTTGAAGAGGGAAGAAGATGCTCCTTCCCCCCTGAGCTGGCCTCCTCCCTTGCTGCCTGTGCCAGCACAGTAGGTCAGCATTTCAGCACCTCACCTGGTTGATGCAGCTGGACTCGTTGGCACTGTCAGAGATCTGGTTGTATTCTTCCTCCCAGGTGGGAAACTTCGGAGGTAGGAGGATCTCGACAGAGTCCAGGCGGTCCAGGCTCCTGCCAGCAGAGAGAGGATGTGAGGGTGTCCCCATGGCAGGGGCAGCTCTGGGGCAGTGCTGGAGCAGAGCCAGAACTCCCTGCCTATGGCCAGACCCCCCTGCCCATGGCCCCTCTGCCAGGTACAGGCACAGGCACAGGCGTGGCAGCACTGAGGTGATGCTGGGCACGGTGCCCACTGCTCGGCTCCTGGAGAAGGCAGCTCTTCCTCACCCTGCCAGCCCCTGGCTGGGCATGGCACATAGGGAAAGTGTTGTGGAGTGCAGTGGAAGGAGTGCAAGATTTTGGGTCCTGCTGGCCCCAGGAACATACTGCAGATGCCAAGTTAGTCCAGCAGAGCCCCAGGGAGCATGTGGGATCTGTGCCAGCCTCCAGTCACAGCACTGCCTGGATTGCTGGAAAAGGGGGGAGAGGCAAGGTGTGGGCTTTGCAATTGGAAAGAACTGCAAGATATGTATATTTATACTTGGACAGAAGAACCCACGTCTACCAGGGCTGTGGGTACGGAGTTCTGAATGCCACCTGCCTGGACACAGCAGAGCTGAGGGCACGGCAGGCCCTGTGCAGCATGTGAGCATCCCACAGGGACTCTGAAGTGTCCATCCCGGGCTGGGATGGGAGCTGGGAATTGTCCCTCCTGCCAGGGGAGATGGAGGAGACACCCCCTGGTCTTGGGGAGCAAGGGCCATGTCACACCCCTAGCCTGGGCTCTCTGCTCTCTGCCGGATTTCCCTCATGCTGAGGGCTCTGCCCGTGAGCTCACACCCCGAGCCAGCCGCGTCCTGAGGCGGGCAGCGCCCCTGTGCCACCCCACCGGCCTTCACCCCGCCTGCCCGCGGGGAAACCGAGTCACGGAGCGGCCAGCAGCCCTTGTGGGGCAGGGACCCTCGCGGAGGGACGGCCCTGCGCCTTGCCCTGGCTCCAGCCGGCCCTGCAGCCCCGGTGCCGGCCCCAGCCCGGGCTCCCTCGGCTGCTGCGGCTCGGGGCTGGCCGGGCGGCGAGGGCCGGGCAGCAGGGGGCGGCCGCGCTCCGCTCCCGGCTGCGGTGCGCTCCGGCCGCCTCCCGGCGTGTCACGGTCCCGGTGAGTGCCACCGGTCCCGGTGGGTGCCACCGGTCCCGGCCTCCTCCCCGTGTGTGCCACCGGTCCCGGTGTGTGTCACCGGTCCCGGTGTGTGCCACCCCGGCCTCGGCCTCATCCCGGCGTGTCACCGGTCCCGGTGTGTGCCACCGGTCCCGGCCGCCTCCCGGCGTGTCACCGGTCCCGGTGTGTGTCACCGGTCCCGGTGTGTGCCACCGGTCCCGGCCTCCTCCCGGTGTGTGCCACCGGTCCCGGTGTGTGTCACCGGTCCCGGTGTGTGCCACCCGGGCCCCGGCCGCCTCCCGGTGTGTCACCGGTCCCGACCTCATCCCGGTGTGTCACCTCATCCCCGGTGTGTGTCACCCCGGCTCTGGCCTCCTCCCGGTGTGTCACCGGTCCCAGCCTCATCCCCGGTGTGTCACCCCGGCTCCGGCCTCATCCCCGCTATTTGTTATTCCCGGCTCCGGCCAGGCTTCTGCTTCGTCCCCGGTTTTATTCCCTGCTCCCTGGGCTCCACTGCCGGCTCCAGCCGCAATCCCGGCTACATTCCCGGCTCTATGTGCGGTTCCAGCTCCATGCCCGGCTCCGGGGTCCCGCAGAGCTCCGGCAGGGCCGAGCCCCGCCTGGAGCGCTCACAGCCCCGTCCCTGCTGTCCTGACCCGCCACGCTCCCCAGTCTTCCTCAGCACTGGGGCTCTGGCTGAGCGAGCCCAGCGCTCCGGGCAGGACACATCCCCACGGACATGCTGGACAGGCAGAAAGAGCCCCAGCCTCTCTATATAGGTATTTTTCACCAGAGACTCCAGGACCCCACCCTGCTCCCCTGAGGTGAAAGTGAAGGCTCGGAACAGGGATGGATCCAGAGCAGGCATTTCCAGGGCTCCCCACAGGTGATTTTGTCACCATCTCCCAGCAGAATGCAGCACCTGGTCTCAGTGGAAAGGCTCTGTGAGGTATCCCCACACTGCCAGCACCCCGCTTCCCTCTGCCTGCTGAGCCTCAGCAATTCACCCCCAGCGGCTCCTTCTTCTCCCTGCCCCTCTGTACTACCTACAACTGCCCAGGCTGTGCCCAGAGCACTGACAGCCCCCAGGTGCCTTGTCCCTGGATGCTGAGCAGGTGCTGAGGACACTGCACAGCATCAGTGCCTGGGTCATGCAGAGCCCCTCCTTCAAGACCAGCCTCTGGCCCAGCAAAGCTCCTGCTCTGCTCCCCTGGCTTTGTCTGTCTGGCTCAAACCACTGTGGGTCTTCCTCCCTCAATACCTGGTGCCAGACCTCTCAACTCTTCAGGATATCTGCCAGCCCAGTGTGCCACCTTTCTGTTCCAGAGGGGGAACACCTGGATACCTCTGGAGCAGAGCAGCTCCAGGCACAGCCCCAGCAGGCAGAGTGTCCTCAGCCATGCTGCATGAGCAGCTTCCATGGCCAAGGGGCCTTTTGGGGTTGTGATCTCTCAATCCCCCAGAGCAGAAGATGCACAGCTCCATCAGAGGAGTGCTCTCCCCATGGCTGAGGAGACAGGGAACTGAAGCAGCTCCTAACACTAGGGCTACTGGGAATCACCAGGATGGGGTACCACATCTTCTGTTCTGCTTGTCTCCTCATCTCTCTGTTAGATCTGGGGTGTAAGAACCCTGCTGAGCTCTTATGCCACACTCTGTGGGCTGCTGCAACCCAAGGACTGCTCCAGCAGTGGTCCTGAGGACCTGTGCAGAGCTCCCAGAGGAGCTCCAGCGTTACCTTTGTGTGGTGCTCTGCTCACTCAGGGACTGTTGGGTGGCCTTGAGGTAACTCTGCCTCCGAGCTGCAGTTTTCGGGGATGGTTTGGGGCTGGTTTCTGAGTCCTCGCTATCATCATCCCCCATGGCTTTGATGTAACTCCCGCTCCGCATGCGCCGGCACGGGATCTCGCTGTCCTTGTCCCGGGACAGCGTGTTGTTCCACTCCCCGTGAGGCACCTGCAGGAGGAACGGGAGCATGAGCAGATGTGAGGGAGAGCACATGCCCACGATCCTGGGACCAGCAGGATCATGGGGAACTGTGGAGATTGTTGTACTTCTGCTGTAGTGTAGTGGGAATAAGCAACACAATTCCTTCACCACCCTCCCTTACCATTTCATGCCAGGCAGCCCTTGCTTTGGTGGCTTCTGTTTTAGCACATCACAGCCATTTCCCTGTCGCTGGACACCTCCATCCCACACATGCTCACACAGCCAGGACAAACTGCATGATGCCAGGCGCAACGGCAGGAGGAGGGGACGGTGTCACTGGGCCTGTGTGGGGCACTGGGGCAGGGCTGGACCTGGGTGTTCACCACACTGACCACATCGCTGAACATAAAAGAGCTGCTGTGGAGCAGGGCTTGGGGCTCAGAGCCCGGACCTTCATGGGCTCTTCAAGGTTTTGAGTTGAATGTGACTCTGAGTGCCTGAAATTACTTTCTGAAACCAAGTCAGGCTCTCACCAATCCCTCTAGAGCAGCTTGGACACACAGACCTTGTGCTTGCCCCTCTGCAGAGAGATGAGCAGCACCTTGGGTATGGAAAGCAGTTCTAACCCCACCAAGATGACAACTCCACAGTTAATTTAAGGCAGACACAGTCTTTTGTTCCCTCACTAGACAGGCATGAACTGATGGTCCCACAGGAGGCCTGAAGCACTGAGCAGCCACAGTAAGCCACCACCCTGCCTGCCCATCCTGTGAAGGGTTTGTGGGGGGGACCAGAGGCAGAACCAAAGTGCCCAGGACTGACCAGGATGAGCTGCATGGGGTGTGGGGCAAGTCAGGAGAAAGATAGGGAAGTCCAGGTTGGCTGAGGAGGGCAGGGCCAGTCAGCAGCCAAATGTGCTATGCAGGACAGGGGCTGCAGGACAGGGAATGCTTGGCTGTCCCTGTGCAGGGCCAGTACTGTATGGTGTGAGGCAGTGAGGGGTGCTGAGCCCAGCCCAGGACAGTGGGGGCTTTCAGACCTCAGGATCCTGCAGCTGCTCTGCTGCCACTGCTCGAGGGCATGGGCTGGGGGCTGCTTAGTTCTTCCATGGCTGCTGCATTTGCCCCCTGGCCTCGGGCTCACTGGGCACAGAAGCACAAAGAGAATTCCAGGGCGTGTCTCTCTGCTGGTGCAGCCCTAGCACTGCCTGTTGCTCTGGGACCTGTCCCTCTCCCAGGAACAGCGTCTCTGGGGCATCACAACAGCATCTGGCTCTCACCAAGCTGCCTTAATCCTGCTTTCCCTGCCTCTCCTCTGCTTTGTGCCTTGGCAAGGCAGCAGGACACAAAGCTGCTCTCAAGGTGCTCTCCATTCCAGCTCAGCAGGCAAGGGAAAGAAGGTGCTTGGGAGGAGACCCCTGAATCCACTGCCCCACTTCAGAGCATGTCCCACCTCTGCCTGCACAGGGTCCACTGGGATTGCCACAGCTCTCACTCCCGTGGGACAGAGAGCAGGAGAAGTGTTTCCTACATGTCACATATGCAAAGACAAGCAGGGGCCCCCAGGGCCCTGTAAAAGCAGTGCAGGTCCTTTGGGTGCTGTTTGGGGTCCTCTGAGATGCTTCTCTGCAGGAGGGTGTGAAGAGCCTGTCCCACAGTCCGCAGGTCTGCGATAGGGGTGACAAGCCCAGAGCAGCTTCTGCGATCAAGGACAGACCTGACAGTGACCAGGGCAGCCCCTCCTGGGCAGCAGAGCTCCTGGCAGGTGACACCTGGGGCTCTGAGCACAGACTGTGTGTCATGCCCAAGTGGACATGAAGGCACCCAGGCCAGGCACAGAGCAGCTCCTCACAGGTGGTGGGGCTCTGCTGGCCTTCCTCCTGCTCCCCCAGGTGCGGCCTTGGCCCTGCCCGTCATGCTTTGGGTGCCATGGAGGGAGGGGGAGTAAGAGAATGCCCAGGTCTGGAGACTTTATGGGGACTTGAGGGCTGCAGAATGTGGGTCCTTCCTTGTGCCCAGTCAAGGTCCATGTGGTGCCATGTACTGCAGGGATGTGGGATCCAGGCGTGTGTCCACCCCTGGAGTTGGGCTCCACTGCTGCCACCACACTGCACTGTCACCAGGTGCTGCCACCACACTGCACTGTCACCAGGTGCTGCACAGTCACCAACCAGCAGCACAGTCTGGCTCTGCTGCTCTCCTGCCCTGAGCTGAGCGTGGAGGGGAAAAGGAAGGGGCCACAGGGGAGGTTTCCCTGGGGGCATCCCCAGTCCCTGGAGCCCTAGCAGAGTGGGGAGTAGGAAGAAGGGGAAAGTTCCACTGCTGGGCTCTGGCAGGAGTTGTAGCGCTCCCTCCACTCGGGACAGGTCGGGGAAGAGACTCGAGGAGCAAACAGGGTTTCCATCACACAAGTGCCAGCTCTGCCATGCAGCCCAGCCCCACACACACAGACATGCAGCACAGGAACACCCGCCCTGCTGAGCCCTGCAGGGCTGCACGGGCCATGCACAGGCTGCACTGCTGCGGGCACAGCGCTGCTCCCTCGGCGGCCGTGTCCCTTGTGCTGTCCCACGGGCTCAGCCACGGGCTCAGCCATGTCCTCGAGAAAGCAAGCTGGAGCTGGGCTGTCCCTCTGGCAGGGCACCCTCTGGGAAGGACCTGGTCTGTGTTCCTGCTCCATGGCAGCTCGGTGGCTGGTGTGAGGCACTCGGCGTTGTGGAGTGGCTGGCACTGAACAGGCCACCCACTCTGTAAGATGAATTCAGGAAGATCTGGGGTGGTCTGACTGTAGGTGGGCTTGGGGAGGCTGGTCTGGATGATGCATCAGTTTCATGGTGACTGTCCCCTCTGAGCCACCACACTGCCCATCCCTTCAGTGCTGTCTGCAGATCCACAGCTCCTGCTCACTCCTGCCTTGGGCATCTCCCACTCCAAGGAGCTTCTCAGTCTCTTTCCTTGTGCTCTCAGCTGCATATGGGGCCCATGGGGACAGGGATGGGGAGCACAGCCTCCCTCCTTGGAGACTGTGCTCTAAGGATGGACCTGTGTCATCCTAGGGACTGATCCAAGAGACCCCTAACCTGATGACACAGGGCTGGACCTGGAGCTAGGCAATCACCAGCTACAACATGTGGGTATGGATGTTTCTAGGGCCTGGAAACATCACATGGGCCTCCAGTAGTTGCTGATGAATCCCCATAATACCCAGACCTTTCAAATGGGGCAGGAGAGGTGAATAGCCTTGGAGGCTGGGGTGTCCTGTTTGTCCCCATCCCACTCCCTCATGTCCCTGCACCTCTGGCACCCACTGGGCATTTCTGCCTGGCAGCAGCCCCCTCTGCAGCAGGGCAGGGCTCCCGTGTCCCCCAGGCACTGGCAAAGCAGATCCTTGCTGTTCCTCACCCTGGCACACAGAGGGAGTGGGCTCTCTCTGTCCCCAGGTGTGACAAGGGGACATGTGGCCTTGGAAAAGGACATTCCCCACACACAGGCTCCAGAGGTGACATCTCCATCGCCTCTCCTGTGCTAAGGAGGGAGTGGGATACAATGACCCCATCCTCCCGTGAGGTGCCTGAGCCCCGTGTCCTGATCTTTGGGGCTGACATTGGACACCTGGGCACAGGGTGAGCCCAAGCATCTGTGACCTGTCGGCTTGTGGGGGCACCAGGCATCATGTTTTTGGGACCGGGTGCCCGGGGTCTTGGTTCCAGTGGTGAACTGCTGGTGATCTGAGCACAAGGCCTGCCCCAGGTACTGGGGATGTTGGTCACATTCCAGTGTCCCCCTGTGCCCCTTCTGCCATGCCAGTTGTTGCTGTTGGCTGCTCCTTGCCCACTCCACGTCTGGTGGTGCAGGCCGAGCCCCTGGCCAGTGGTCCCAGGAGGATCAGAGCAGGAGGGACTGGACAAAAGCCCCTCCTCAAAACAAGATCCCTACCTGGGCACTGCCTGCGTCGGTCGGCCCGGGGCTGAGGGGCTGGTCCCAGCTCCGCAGGGCAGCCGTGTCCTCCTCCCACCGAGTGATGGGGCTGCCCAGCTGCTGGCCAGGCCCATGCCACCCAGCTGTGCCCACAGCCCTGCGTCAGGCTGTCGAGAAATGGAGCCTCATTACATGGGGGGAAGGAGCAGGGCAGCTTTGCACCCCAGAGCCTGACAGGGGCTGTTGGGGCTGCCTGCTGGGCTTGGTGCTGCAATCTGAGGGAACAGGACCCTTGGAGAGCTTGGCTGCAGCTCTTGAACTTCAAATGCTTTACGGGAAGGAGCAGGGGTAAAGAAAAAGAAACCAGGCCAAGATCATTTTCCGTGCTGGTGTTCGTGATGCAGTCAGTTTGGTCCCTTGGAAATTTGATTTGCAGCCGTGGCCAGCAAGGTATTGGAAGTTGACTATGCTTCAATAATTCATCAGGTTTTAAAGCCTCTAACTCCGCTGGGCACAGCCAAGGAAGCCCCTGGCACCTCTGCATTAAAAGGATGCTAGAGATTTACATGCACAGACTGGTCCCCTCCTCCCCTCCATCCAGGCCTGGCTTATTTGTCTTCATTCCTCTCTCTAGGGCACAGTCAGGTTCATGCCACTCCAGCGCCGTTTTGGAGCCTGCTGCAGACCTGGAGCTGTGGGTGCCAGGGTTCCAAACCAGCATCAGCCATGCAGGCCATGCAAGTGAGGCTGGCACTGCCTTGCTGCCCCAGCCCTGCCCCACAGGCGAGCAGCAAGGTGGCTGCAGGTCCTACCAGTGCTCCGGGGAAGCTGGGCAGAGCGGGGCTGACCGGGCACGCTGGCACATCCTTGCGATGCGTGGAGATAAGGGGGAAGCGTTAGTTAGTGCTGCTGACCTTCAGCCCATGGCACAGGGGTCTCCATGGGGGCCTGGGAAGCTGTGTCCAGTGAGACATGGACAGCATTCACAGCCCCTCAGCATTCCCGGCTGTGTAGGCACTCAGGGGAAGCATCCACATGGGGCAGCTACATCTCCACCTGTCCAGGAGTGCCCCGCAGCATCTGCAGGGCCTGGGCAGGCAATGGGGACATGTGGGATGCCTGCAGGAAATGGGGTCACACCCAGCAGAGGAGGTGGGGTGGCATGTCCCCTCCACAGGGACTGGGGATGCTGGGACTGTTGCGCTGCAGCTGTGGGAGATGGATCCCATCAGCACCCGTGTCCCCACAGAAGGAGTAGGGGCCTGTTCCCAGGACCCTCCCCAGCCCTATCCTAGCAGTGTGACCTGAGGTGACAGCTGAACCATCAGGACATATTTGATAAGGTCACACAGGTGCCCACCAAGAGGATGTCCCTGAACTCCTGTGCTCTCCCTGCACAGAGCACCCCGTATTCCCCTGTGCCACCCACCTGCAGGTAGTGGTAGGCCAGGTCCTGGTGGCAGGACTTGGATTTGAGCAAGGCTTTGTCGATGGTGGCGGAGGCCTTCTGGCACACCTCCCGGGCATGGCTGAGCGTCAGCGTGGACCAGGAGCCCCGCTTGATGTAGTTGGAGTCGTTGTTGATGGGGATATTGGTGCAAGGGGTGACCTTGAGGTCATTATTGCTCTTGGAGGATTTCAGCATGTGCTCGCTGATGGTGTTGTAGGCGTGCATGAAGTACTTTGGCTGGCTGTGGTCGGGCTGCCGGCCCAGCGTCATCAGCCCCATGGGGTTGCGGTAGCTGCAGGTGTCGCTGTCCAGGTTGTCATCGGAGCTCCACCAGCCGGAGATGTTGGACCTGGTCCTGCGCTTGGGCTCAGAGGTCTTCGCCCGGTCCTTGCTCTTGCTCCTCCGGTTTTGCTTGGCGTCATCTGCCCCCTTCTTCCCATTGACGTTGCCCTTGGTGGGGCCCTCCAGAGACTGGGACTTAGCAAAGAGCTTCTGCACGGAGTGTACCAGGTGCCGGATGCGCCCTGGGCTCTCGCTCCGGTGCTTTGCGTCGCTGCGCTGGAACTGCAGGGTGCTGAAGCCGTCCCTGTGGATGGGCAGCTGCTTCTCAAACTGGTCGAGGAGGTTGGCAGGCAGGCGGTTGATCTTAGTGGCTTGGGCATGGCTCGGAAAGGGGTTGTCATCCGGGACCTCGAAGTGGGAGTTGTAATGGATGCGCGGGAAAGTACTGCTGTTGGAGATCTGGTTATTGAGCGGAAGGAGACAGTCGCCGTGGACGGTGTTCTGGGCTGGGAATCGGGGATCCATGGTGAAGGAGTCGGTGGGGCTGAGGAGATAAGGGTTCCTGTCCTGGGGGGCATAAAGAGAGTCTTGAGGGGAGTCCAGGTTTTCTGAGAGATGGCGGCTTCTGTTGTCTCCTAAGCCCTTCATGGTCCCAGTGCTTCCTAGACCATGGCTCAGGGACAGTGTAGCAGAGCCCTCACAGACCTCCCTGCAGCAGGAGGAAGAGACAGAATGCTGAGAGTCCACTGGGAGCCCCTCTGGCAGCCCACTCTTCCCTTGGGGCACATCCCTGCTCCCCTCTGAAAGCAAATACCACCATGGTTAAGGGACAAAGGAGAGAAGCAGGATGGAAGAGGCAGGAGCGGGGGAGAAGGAGTGTGAGACCAGGGGCTGGAGAGAGCAGGGACCAGCAGAGGAGGGGCAGGATTCACATTCCCACTGCAGGTGCAGTGTTCGTGTGCCTCAGTGCCCAGTCACAGGCTGCTCAACAACACTGCTGCTGCTGTTCTGGTGCTGTACGTGGTATTGGACAGCGTGACAGAGGCACTGCCAGCAGGTCCCTGCTCTGTCCCATCTGCTCGGGGAGCTGGAGGTAAGCCTGCTGAGCCCAGGCAGTCTGGAGCTGAGCACCCCAGCTTTTCTGAGATGATGGATCCCGGGGCTGGCACAGCTCCCACAGCTGTGCTAATGTGACATGATGGCAAACAGCTCCTCTCCAGCCAGGGCTGCCTTCCTGGCAGGTTCTGCCCTGGAGCACAGTGTGTCAGTAGCTCTGTAAGAGCTGAGGTGTTTCTGAGCACTCAGAGTCTGACCAGAGAAGCTGTTGACTGCTCAGATGATGATTCCTGCTGGGCTGCACCACTCCTGGGGAGCTGTGTCACCAGTGCCACCCTCCCAGCCAGCCCTCTGTGCCCTCTGCCACAGTGAGGGGTTGGGCTTGGTCCCTTCCTTTCAGCAGGTGTGGGATCCCTGTGTGGAAAGGCAGCTGGGACAGAGGGATCCCCTGAGGGATCCTCATTGAACATCTCCCCAGTGGTCTTGCCCCATCCTGCTTGGTTCAGAGGGATCCTCATCTTTACTGTGTTATACAGGGAAAAAGGACAAACATTTTGGATTTGCTTAAAAGAAAAATCAATCAATATTTATATGAGTTGAGCTGTCAATCAATAAGTTGATTTTCCATACTCCAAACCTACTTAAAATCACAGAATATATAGATGAACTCTTATTTCCTGTTACCTTTTAGTTTAGTTTCTTAGTTCCTTTTTGGTTAATTTGAGTGTTGCTCAAAACAGAGAGAATTACTTTTAATACATGCAGATGGTATGTCCCTGTGGTGAGCAGGGTTGGCAGTCTGTTCTCCCTTTTAGCCATGAATTGGTCTCCAGTCTCCTTGAGGAACATGTCCCCCACATGCAGCGTGGCCAAAGTGGTGTGTGAGTGGAGTCAGTGACCACTGCAGGGTGGCAGGAATCGACAGGCTTGTCTTCCCCCATTCAGGGAAAGATGTATTATAATGAAAAGCAGCCAGAGCTTTAAATAATTGTTTGAAAGCACAAAAAAAACCCCAAAAAACAAAACCCAAAAAACCCCGCTAAACCTCCCCCCCACCCCAAAAAAAACCCAAACCAACCACCATCAAAAACCAAAAAAAACCCCACCGACCAACCAAACAAAAAAACCAAAGCAGAATTTATTCCACGGCCTGATAGGCTTTGCATTCTCCATTTAACTCTGTCACTCCTAGTGGGTTGGCAGAGCCAATCTGGGCTTTCTAAAGCTGCAGTGAGCACAGCCTGGGCTTCCCATCCTGCTCCAAGGGAGACCTCAGTCCCCCTCCCCTGAGCCATGTTCCGAGGGTCCTGTCCATGCTGACCCCAGCCCACCTGTCCTGGGGCACTGCCCACGGCCCCTGCACCCTTGGCAACTTCCCAGCACTGCTCCCTGGGCATCCCAGGGCCCATCGGACTTGTCTGGTCCTGACCCGGGTCCCTGCAGAGGCTGCATGGCCCTGGGAGTGGCTCCTCCTCGGGCTGCTGAGCTGCTCCAGCTGCCTCCACCTCCAAGCTGTGCCCTGCCTGTTTGGCCGTGCTGCTCTGGGAGCAAAGACTGGCCCCTCTCCCCCACAGACAGTGCCCAAACCTGAACTTTCTGCCCAAACAACAAATGCAGCCTTAGCCTTGACTGGGACTCAGCTGCTTCTGGTCCCTGTGGGTGTGACCCCAATTCCCCTGTGGGTGTGACCCCAATTCCCACTGTGCCCTCCAGCAGCATCAGCCCCCTGGAGTCCCCTGCCCATGGGACCCACTGGGCTGGTGGATCTGGGGTGGCGCTGGCTGGGAGGTGCCAGCAGGGAGGTTCAGGATGTGCCAGCTGGCACCCACACTGCTCAGTGCAGTGACAGAGAGCCCCAGGTGATGCTCCCAGAGAAAACCCTCCAGGCAGAAGGGAAGGATAGGGTGTAGGACAGGCTCCAGGCTGAGCTATTGAGCTGAATTCCAGATGGATTTGGATGGCCAAGTTCCACCTGCACACTTTGGAGAGGAAGTCCTGCAGGAGGCAGAATCTCAAATCTTCCCTGAACACCACCCAGGCTCAGCTCTGTCTGCCACGGCCCCTCTCCCTCCCCTCCTTCCCCCAGCTCTGGAATCCCAGTAAAATCCTTCCCTTGGGCCCAGGGCTGTGCTGGCTCCGAGGGATGCTGCGGGACCAGGCTCACAGGAACCATCACAGGAACTAGGCTCCCCGAGGAGACTCCACACCCTGATTTGATCACAAAGGGATGTCTCTGGATATTGATAGTAAATACATCTTTGCCTTCTGAGAGCAGCTGATATTTGAAGCAGGAATCTCCTCCTAAGGCAGTCCTTGGCTACCTTGTGGTCACTGGGCTCCAGATAAACTCAAACTGCCTTACGAATCAAAGGAAGTGGGGAAATGGAATGGAATTAAGAAATGTAGATCAATGGCAGTCTAGTGTGCACAGGGGGAGAAGAAGGGCCAGGGTCAGGCTGGCTCCAAGTGCTGCAGAGGCAAAAGGGCAGGAAGGAAACTCTGAGGGGCTGGGGGATGAGTGGGAGAGAAGAGAAGGTTTTGGAGGGGCAGGAGCAGAAAGGGTGGGACAGTGAGAGCAGGGGAGGGAAGGGAGCTCCCTCTTTCCCAGACTGGCTTCCCCCTGCTACAAGTGGACACTCACTTCTGTATGGCAGAGTTCACTGCTCCCTTCTCCTGTGGGGCTGCCACAGGTGCTGATCCTCCTGCCTGTCCTGCCTGCTCCAGCACCTCCCTTGGCAGCAAGGGAGGTGTGAGGTGCATCCCTGCTGCTGGGCATGTGCTAGAGCTCACCATGCTGTCTTTGCTGCCTCCTCTGTCAGCCGGTTTCCCTCTAAAATGGCTTAAAATGTTTTCTTACTTTCAATTACTCTCTGCAATCCTTGGCACTTTGTTGAGACATGGGGTCAGAGAAGGGAAGAATCCAGCAAGATCTTCCCCACCATCTTTTAGATTTGGAAAGATGAAAAATGCTTGAAACTAAATCTCCCAAATCCATGATCCTGCAGCTCACAGACTGGCAAGGGCTGTCTCCTGGGACAGGTGCTCAGTGTCCCTGCTGTGTCACCCTGCCCTGAGCCAGGCACCCCGGCAGGGATGGTCAGCCCTGCACCACAGAGTGGGGCACCAGGGTCACTGCAGGAGAAGACCTGTCGAGCAGAGGGTCACAGCAGGGGCTGCTAGAGCCAGGACAGAACCCCTGAGCCGATGGAAAGGGACTGGTTTCACCCCCTTACCTCTGTTCCCCTCAGTCTGTTTTCTCAGGACTGCCCTTGCTCTTCCCAAAGGCTTTGCTGATGCTCAGAGATGAATTGACCTGACCTGAGCTGATTTATGGCACTTTTGTGTGTACCAGGCCCCAGCCAGAGGTAGCTTCTTGGGCCTGGTTCACAGCCTGCAGGTTTGGGTGAGCTGCACCCAACCCACCTCCAGCAGCACCTCCAGCAGCTCCAGACACCAGGCAGGACAGAATTCCTGAGTGGTTTGGGGTGGAAGGACCTTAAAGCCCATCCAGTCCCAACCCTTGCCATGGGCAGGGACACATTTGACTAGATCTGGAAGGTTGCTCCAAGCCCCAGCCAGCCTGGCCTTGGACACTTCCCAGGGATGGGTCACCAGCCATGTCAGGACCTTAGGGACCACTGGCTGTGATCAGCTTCTGTGCTGGAGCTCTGCACCACAGGGGAAGTGGGCAAGCCCAGGTTTGGACAGGGCTTGGAGCAACCTGGAACAGTGGGAGGTGTCCCTGCCATGGCAGGGGGTGGGGCTGGATGGCTTCAAGGTCCCTTCCCACCCAAACTACTCCAGAATTGTCTGGTTCCCTGCTTCCATGTACTACTGAGGCAGGGTTGGCCAGAAAGGCTCAGGAGCCACTTGGGTGATGCTCAGGAGAGGCTGGTGGCACATCAGGAGAAGCATCAGCCTGTAAAATGGAACTGCCCAGAGCACACATCCTCCAGGAGGAAGCAAGTCCCAGACTGACAGGGCTGAGGGCACCCTCCGGGGTCAGCTTGTCCTGCCCTCTGCCCATCAGCTCTTCCAAGGCTCCACATTCCCCAGGCAAACCCCGGCCCAACCATCCTGGCTGGCTGCAAACACAGAGGTGGCTTTTGTACCTGGAACCAGCAGCATGGTAACAACAGGCTGGAATGTGGAAGAGAGGATTTGCCACCTGCAGGGGGAAAATGCCTCCCCTCTCTTGCTGCTGGAAGCTGAAAGGATCTGTGAGCTGTGGTGCAGGTGACGTTTGCCTGCCCACGCGGAGCCCAGCGTTCCCTGAATTAGCAGGAGCTCTGGATGCGGTGCTGGGGGCTGCTGCCTGCCAGAGCCCTGCATTAATGATGATTCAGAGTTCACAATCTGATCGTGGCCGATAAAAATAGCTGGCTGCTGCTTGGAACAATTCATTACACAACAGAGCCTTCTCCTGCCACGCTGCTCCCGGGATGCCCCCACAGCTCTGTCCTGGAGCAGAGCCTGTCCCCAGGGATGAGGAGGAGAAAGCACTGCCTGTCCTGGGATGAAGGCAGGGGATCCTGAGGAAGAGTTAATGCCACCCACCGTGACAGTGCCACCAGGAGAACCAAGCACAGCAATGGAGGGGACAGTGGCTTCCAGCAAGCCAAGGGTGTCACCTTTTTGGGATCCCTGCTTAGGGGACAGGGAGTCCTCTAGAGGGTCGGTCTGCTCATTGCCTAAGGGTGCCCAGGGGCTGAGCCAGCCCATCCTCACTGCCCTGCCAGGCAGCCATTGCCAGGTGAAACATACCCAGTGCCAGCCTGAGCTCGGCACTCTGAGCCCTCAGCTGTGTCCCTGGGGAAGGATTTCCCCACATCCCTCCTCATGCAGGAATATGTGGCTGGTGCCCTTTGAATGTGGGATCTACACATGGCTCCTGAGGTCCCATAACAGCTGAACTCCACTGATCTCCTGCTTGTTCTTCAGGCCAAGGAGTGTCTCTGCCCACTGGTGCCCACTGGGGTGATAAAAGACATGGGATCTGACTGGCACCATCCCAAAATGACAAGGAGTAATTTATCTTAAGAACTCTAAATACTGCCTCTTTTTGTTTGTTTGTTTGTTTTTGTTTTGTTTTATTATGTTTTAATCTACCAGCAAAACCAAATGCTGTGAAAGTCAAAGGTTGTGATATGACAAAGATTTTTTTACTTCAGGTGTTGTCTAAGCTGGAGGAGCAGATGAACTCCTGAGAGAGACAGAGAACTTATTTTCATCCAGATGTCACTGGTAATATAATCAACTCTCCAGGGAGCAAAATCCCAGAAATTCTGCAACCTATTTGTCTATCCCTAAATAGAAGTTTCTCAAAGTTCTCCATGAGACGGGATTTGCTCTGAATCAGGAAATGCAAAGCATTAAGTAGGTCAAATGAGACAAATGAGACAGATAAGAAAGGGAATTTTCAGGAAGGGAGCAGGACAGCTGATGAGGTGGCTGGAGTGGAAGGACCAGGGTAAAGAGCTGGATTGTCTTTGAAACCTGTCTGCAGCCTCTGCTGCCTTGCAGAACACTTGGGGCACAGGCTGGTGACCACATGGGGCATGTTCCAGCTTGGCTGGAGGAGCAGCTAATGAGAACATTCTGGCCCAAAGCTGACCTGTTCTGGTCAGTGGTGTTCAAGAGGCCTGGAGGGGGTAGGGAGTGTCTGCACAGCCCCTATGGAGCGAGTGTGGGATGCAAAGCCCTGGATGCAAAGCTGTGAACATGGCTGCCCTTGAGCTGCCTCTGTCCTGGCTCCCAGGGATGGAGGTGTCCACCCTTGCACTGAGAACTCGGGACCCAGACAAGGCAGAGACTCTGCTTGGCCTCCTGTGTTGCCACCCTGCCCAAACTGAGTCCTCCTGCCTCTCTGTGCTGCCAGAGCCAACAGCAGCCCCTGGGCCATGGCCCTGGTGTCCCTCCCAGGGCACAAAGACCACGCTGAGGAGGAGGAACTTCAGCCTGGAGAGGAGGAGACTGAGGTCAAACCTCACTGGAGTCTTCATTGGGGGAGAGTGTTGAGCTCTGCTCTGTGTGACCAGTGACAGCACAGGGAATGGCTGGAGCTGGGCCAAGGCAGGCTCAGGCTGGAGATCAGGGAAAGGTTCCTCATCCAGGGGGTTCTGGCACTGCCCAGGCTCCCCAGGGAATGAGCACGGCCCTGAGGCTGCCAGAGCTCCAGGAGCATTGGGACAGCGCTGCCAGGCACAGGCTGGGACTGTTGGGGTGGCTGTGCAGGGCCAGGGTTATCCTTGTGGGTCCTTTCCATCTCAGCTCATTCCATGATTCTCTGTCTCTTTGCCCTTAATGTTTGTGGCAGAGTAGTTACAGGATGCTCTGAGTATCCCTGGCTGTCACTGTTCCACCACCAGCTCAGCAAGGACCTTACTGTGCTCCAGGGCAGACGTTCCCATTGCCTAAATGTCCACATGAAGCCAGGCAGGGCCCTGGCTGCATTCGATGCAGGGTGGAGACGCTCTTGGCACTCAGTGTGATCAATGCCTCAAACAAAGCAGCTCCTGTAGCCTGAGGGTCCCCGGGCAAAGAGGAGCAGGTGGGAAAATTCAGCAGCTCCCTGTGCCATCCCTTTGGAGCCCGGGCTGGGCCTGTGCACAGCTCTGCGTGCTCGGAGCTTGGGAACACTTCCTTTGTCTCAAAGTGGGTCAGGTGGAGGCGTGGTGTTACTATAGCAATGGGCAGGAGATTTCATAACTTTATTTTGCGAGGGGCGTGTTGCAGAATTCACCAGGAGATGGAGGGAGGGCTGTCATTGAATCACCCTCCCAGCTTCCCTTCCCCAGTGGGCTCCTGCAGGAGCTCCACTGCCCCTTGGCCACAAGCACAGAGCTGGGGCTGTGCCCCCTGGCCCCCTCAGGACTCCCAAAGCCACCCCGGGGACATCCCCAGTGCCACCCTGGGGCCATCCCCAGTGCCACCCTGGGGCTGTCCCCAAAGCCACCCCGGGGCCGTCCCCAGTGCCACCCCAGGGACATCCCCAAAGCCACCCTGGGGCCGTCCCCAAAGCCACCCTGGGGCTGTCCCCAAAGCCACCCTGGGGCCATCCCCAAAGCTGCCCCAGGGCTGTCCCCAAAGCCACCCCAGGGCTGTCCCCAAAGCCACCCCGGGGCCGTCCCCAAAGCCACCCTGGGGCCGTCCCCAAAGCCACCCCAGGGACATCCCCAAAGCCACCCCAGGGCTGTCCCCAAAGCCACCCCAAGGCTGTCCCCAAAGCCACCCTGGGGCCGTCCCCAAAGCCACCCCGGGGCCATCCCCAAAGCCACCCCAGGGCCATCCCATACCTCTCAGCTTGCCAGGCTCGGGCACTAGGCCAGACTCAGCATCCTGAGCACCGTGTGTCCCTCTGGGCTCCAGGGCTGTCCCTTGTGAAGACCTGCAGGGCAGAGAGCAAAGGGGACGTGTCCTCACAGGGCTCAGAGAGATGTCTGCGATTCCTGGGATCAGAGTTTGTCTGCCTGACAAACATCCCAGGCCACAACCCAATGCTGCAAACACTTGACTGCTCTGCCTGATACCTGGGCTGTGTCCAGCAAAGGCAAATGGCAGAGAGTGAGGCAGAAGCAGTACCCACGGGACAGGGAAAGATGTGGGAGTGGGGCCCTTAGCCTCTTGGGTGTCACATGGACTGAGAGGATGAGCTGGAGATCAGCCAGGTGGGAAGGAGAACATCCAAAATGCTCCTTGCTGGGGGCTCAGGCCTGGGCAGAGTCCCTTTGTGGGAAAGTGCTCTTTTTCTTTCCTTCCCTTGCTTATTTATCGTGGACTCACCCCCTGCTGTCCGTGGCCATGCCAGGAGCCACTGACCTGGGCAGGGGGGTCCTGTCACCCTCTGTACCTCACCCTCTGGGCTGGCCCCCTTGAGCCCAGCCCGGGGAGGCAGGAAGGACAATCCTGGGGACAATCCCCCTGCCCAGGGTGGCAGATGGCACCTCTGGTGTTCCCCCTGCTGTGTCCCAGCACTGCCCCTGAAGAAGCTGCTCTGAGTGTTAGCTCCAGCACTGCTCAAGGCAGCTCCTGCTGGTCACTAGGTGCTACTGTGCTGCAGCCAGAGCCTGGTGGTTCCTCCTTCCCTGCCACGCAGCCACGCTGCAAACCACGGGAAAAATGCTCCCTCTGTCAAAAGCCAGCTAAATAATATGGGGAAACCCCCCACCATGTTTCTCAGTGTCCCCAAAGCCCTACTGACCCCACAGAGAGCACAGCCTGAGTTATCTAATCAGTGATGTTGGGGTTTGCATTGATGAACACTCCAGGCTGGTTTGCGTGCACACACAGCCTGTCCTACACTGGGAGCTGCTGGGGCAAACTGGGCAACTCCTGCTGCAGGGAAGCAAGGGCTGGGAATGGCATGGGAACCAGAAGAGGAGTTAGCCTTCCTAAGACAGCTTTTTCATTCCTACTTGAATGGAGGAGGCCATCTGGATTTGAGAAGGTCTTTGAGAGCTCAAAGAGGGGTGAAAATAGGTGAGCCCCAGTTTCTTGGCTCAGATGGAAGGCTGGGACAAGGATAAAAACCTTGGCAATTTTTCTAGGAAAGCCAGATCCAGGTGCTGGGCTTGACTCCCACCCTGGTAATGCAGAAGATGACCAAACTGGTGTTCAGAGATGAGGCAGCAGTTCTTTGTCCCCAGAATGGAGAGATGGGTACTGCAGTGCTCCTGAGACCCTGCTGTGCCACCTGCCACCACCCAGCCAGAGGGGCTTTTTCCAGCCTGGAGTCACACACATCCCAGGTGCCTGGCTGTGGCAGAGGCACCGTGCTCTCCTCAGACATGCCCAGCAGCCCTCCTAGAACTTGTGCCAAGGAAGCAAAGCTTGCAGAGATGGAGAGGCACAGTGCAGGCAGAGAATGAGAGGACTGTGTTCACTCCAAGGCCCTCAAGGGGGATATCCTAATAGACAGAAGAATGGAAAGCCTGGGCAGGTCAGCAGATTTGCCTCCTAAATTAGGTACAAACCCTCATCACCTTCCCACTAGCTCTAGAGCCCAGCACTGCAGAGGGAATTGCTAAAGCAAAGGGATGTGTCCTAGGACAGCCAGGCAAGGCATTCTCCTCTGTCCCCACAGCTGCCCTGTCTCCTACACCAAACACCCCTCTCTCTCGGGAGTTTCTTGCTGCTGCTGGGCAGAGCCCGAGGCTGAGACAGAGGTGAAGCACATGTGGCTTCACCCAGCCCAGGAGGGCTCTGCTGCAGCCTCAGGGACACCTCCCCACCCCAAAGCCAGACATTCCTGGGCTCAGAGGTGCCCCTGCAGTGGCAGTCATTGCACTGTGACCTGGCTGTGTTGGATGAGCTGTGGCAGGGCAGGTGCCACGGACTGCATGCACTGGCACTGCACTGGTACTGCCCAGCCCTCTGCAACTCTCCATGGGAAAGGGAATTCCAGCACTGGAAGCTGTGTTGGGTTTGAGCCCATGATCCAGACAGCAGAGCCACCAGCACAGCAGGGATCCATGGCCAGTGCTGCCCCCAGTGTCAGCACCTACATGTCTCTGTCACCCGCTGTGCGACAGTGCCCTGCTGTAATGCCACCCGTGCTGGGATGGAAGGCAGTACCTCTGAAGCCACTGATGGCCGCCATGGAAGCCACCAGCACCTTCTAGGAATGCCCCCAGCACCCTCCTGGCTGCACAGGCACCACCACAAGCACCCAGCACCCTGTAGCAGCAGTGGTGGCTGTTGGGATGCAAGTGCCTGTCCAGAGCTGGCAGCACCTGGCAGGTGTGTGCGTGCCACCAGCACTCTCAGGGTGCCTCAGGCCCCCAGGAACAGGCCAGTCCTGGCACTCTCTGGCATATCCAACAGATGGGAGAAGCAGGGCCTGGATGCCAGGCCTCCCTTCACCCAGCAGGTTCCTCCTACTGAACAAGGTCACTGAAGCTCTGGAGGAAGAAGCATTTTGATGTGGAACACTGTTTTTCCCTTTGCATGCTGTTCTTGCACAGAGAAAATGGCACCATAATTGCTTTTAATTAATATCAACATCAACGCCCAAAGAAATGCAAATGAACAGTTGTGTCACCAGCCCAACCACCTGATGTTACCAACCATCCAAACACTTCCATTGTCCCTTTCCTCCTGCCTCCATTGTCCCCCTCTCCCTGCCATTCTCAGGAGCAAGGTGCTCTCGGTGGGGTGTGAGGGGTGGGATGGAAGCTGAGGCATGGAAAGACAGGAGAGGGGCTGTAAGCTCAGGGAAGGGCACTGCAGACCAGTGGAAGGGAGGAGGAGCAGGGGCCAAGCTGGGGCCCTGATTTTCCAGGCAATGAGGGTGCAGAATGCCAGAGGAAGCAGTCAGGGGTCCATCCAGGACCCTTCTCTGCTCAGGGGTGTCTTGCTGATGAACTGATGCCCCTTCAAGACAATTTTGGTGAACGGGGAGCCAGATGATCTACAACCATGGCCTGCCCTGCTGCAGCCTGAGTGGTTCTGTGTGGCTGGAGAAAGCCTTGAAGGGACAGATCTGGTGCTCCTGGTCCAGCCTCAGAGGTGGCTGCAGGTTGGTGATGAAATATGAGGCATCAGTATCTGCTGGGGCCTCCTGAGGAAGGTGATGAAGTTTCAGCCCAGTGGGCAGATGAGGAGGGCAAGGTGGTCCTTCCCCTTCTGCCACTCCAGGGCCACACTAGTGTGGTCACAGCCAGAGCAGAGCGAGGCCAGCAGAGCTGGGCAGGTGCAGGTGGTGCTGGGATCTAATTCTAGGGAAAATCCTGTGGAATGTTACCGGCTCAAACAGCAGCATCTTGGGATGGTCTGTGTGAGAACAGAGGTCCCTCCCAGGCTGGGCTGTCACCTCCTGCTCCTTTCTGCTTCTCCACCAGGTTTGGACAAGCATCAGGAAACTTTTTTTTTTTTTTTTTGCTTTTGGTAAACCTGAGAGGAGATGAAGCCCTCATTCCAGGGAGCAAGCACAGTGACCTGGCAGCCAGTCCAGTGCTGGACCCAGAGCTCTGTAAAAGGCTGAGGGTCCCTGTGGGACCCCACGAGCACAGCAGGGATGCTGCAGGGATGGGGGATGAGCAGGCCTGGCACAGGGACAGAGGGGAAAGGGCGAGGAGCAGAGCACAGCCCCAGAGGCAGGTGCCCAGTGTTGGCAAGGGCTGCTAAACAAGGGCCCCTTCCTCCTGCTGTCACCCCTCCTGCTATTGTCCCCTCCTGCTCTCGTCCCTAGACTGAACACTTTGATTCACAGACTGTAAGATTAGGTACAGACATTGCCAACTCTTCTGAAACAGGCCATAACACCATTTTGTGCAAATCTAGCAAGAGAACTAGTGAAAAGAAATATATGTGTGCTCTTGTAATCTCTGCACCATTTCTCTGTGTAAAACAAATGCATTGAGCTCCTTTGGGTGTTCCAGAAAGAATCACCCTGGAGGATGTTTGGGGGCTGGGAGCAGCACCTCCAGGGAAGGACATGAAGCTGCTTGGAGAGAGGGGAGAGCACAAGTGAGGTATGGCTGAGCATGAGGAAGGAGCTTTGTAGACAGGATTAAGATCCTTCTGAGGAGGCACAGAAGGAAAATTATGTGTGTGAAAACACCAGAGGGAACAATTGAGCATAGGTGGGAAGGGTGGGAAGTCCTGCTGAGCTGTGAGGAAAGTGCTCCCCTCCCCAGGCCCAGAAGGCTCCCACGCAGATGCCTTGTCAGCAGGGTCCTGTTGGGGCAGGGCAGCAGGGAAAGGAGGTCACAGCACATGGAATGGGCTGTTCCTGTCCCTGCTCTCCCGACAGGAGGGTGTCCTGGACACAGGGACAACATGCACCGATCCTGCTGAAGATGGAAGTTGAAGTCAGCAAGAAGCTGAGGCAAAAGATCCACCCTGATGACTCCCAGAGGTCAAACCCCACACCACTGTCAACTGAGAGGAACCTTGGGGACAGAGTGGGGACCTGACAGTAGCACTCCTTTAACTCTATAAATGGGGGACCTGCTAGATCTTGGAGGTATTTCCTAAGATAACCTCTGCCCTACTCAGCTGGTTCAGATTAGACATTGGACAAAACAGTTGCACTGAAAGAGTGGTCAGGCACAGGAATGAGTTGCCCAGGGAGGTGGTGTGGAAGTGTTCAAGAGCCACCTGGATGTGGCACACAGGGATGGCTATGCTGGGACTAGGTTGATGGCTGGACTTGGTGATCTTGAAGGTCTCTTCCAAGCTTGAGGATCCTGTGAGATGGGAGCCTGGCCAGGCCAGCAGCCCTGGAGAGCAGGGGAGGGCACTGTGGGTGGGGGTTATCTGTTCTTGGCATGGGAGCAGTAGCAAACAGCCCTGAGATCCCTGGTGTAGGAATGGGGGAGGGAGCTGGAAGGAGCAGAGCTGAGCCTCTCCAGGCAGTGAGAGAACTGTGTCCCCAGCAGGGAACAC